CCACCCGTATGCATATGTACAGTTCACGGCACTTTGCCATTTAAGTCAGCGGGAGCTGCGATACCTCGGCAGAAAGACAGATAGAAGAATGATGACATGTTTGAGATTTCACCCTTCTTTCAAAGTAGCCCTGGCGACAACACCCGACTTCGTCGTGTGTTGCCGCCCGGTATCATTCCTTCATTATAACCTTCTTTTTTATGTAAGCTAGCCCTGGCGACAACACCCGACTTCGTCGTGTGTTGCCGCCCGCTAACCATAATTTTACAGCTGTCACGCCCGTACGTACCTGTAATTTTTGTAGCTTCTGCTGGCTTATTGTGTTGAGTGCACTAACCTTGAATAATCATGATTTATTCCTACGACTGTACCCCTAAATTTGTAGAGTTGGCTTGTGCCTATCTCTATCCCTATATTTTGGCTTCACCGGAACAGGAAACAGGAAACAGGAAACAGGAAATACCAAAAAAGGGGGTGAGGGCTCAGGCAGATAGACTGCCGAGGTTAATCGATGGTCTTGCCAGCGGAACAAAAGCTACTATTATTTTTAAAATTAATTAGTAGTAGCTCAAGAAACGAATTCGTCAGTACGTGCTTCGCGCTTCGCGGTCCAGGATTGTGCCTACCGGTATTTATTTAGGCGCTGATAGCGTGTCGTCGTCAACTTCTCTATCTTGTCTCCTGCGGTCGCCGCGGGAGGAGCAGCCTTTGAATTAGCTAGACTAGCTAGCTACCGTAGCTCGTGTCAGAAACGATTGCTGAGTCCTCAGTCTTTTCTTTGTTGCCCTTCAAGCTGGCAGCTTGGTCGTCCATCTTCCTCCCAAATTGACCAGCATTCGTTCAATTGTTGCGGGCTCCCTCCAGCCGCCAGTCGAGACCGTGAGCCGCTGCAGTCGCCATCGTCTTTTCATTCCGCAAGAGACTGTCGTCGTTCCTTCGGCACAACAACAACAACCGAGTCGTGGAGTGGCGGCGGCAATGAAGACGATTGGTGTCTGACTCTGCCGTTGTTTCTCCGCCGCCGGCAAATCAGTCGACGCCATGAGCAGCAGCAAGCTGACACCATAAGCATGTAGCCATCGTCGTGTTTGACGAAAGGCTCGAAGAAAATTGACAGTGACAGAGATAATAAAACAAAGACCATCCACTGCCTGTGGTGTTTGCTGATTCATTCTCTGCCGTTATGTCTTCCTGTTGGACTGACTCGACTCCAGCCAAGGCCACAACCAATCCGCCATGATTGATCATTGTCGTGCTACCTTCCGAAGCAACACGTACCGGTAGAGATAGCAGAGCGACAACGATGAAGATTCCGAAGTTTCTTTTGTTGATGTTGTCAGTATCTCTATCCAGGCACCGGTAGACTATTTTGGCTCCTTCCATCCTGGAGCCACGAGTTCACAGGCCTCGTCGTCGCGGTCCCACCAAGGAGAAAACGAAGATCAGGGATAACAATGCTCCAAGATAACCCAAGATAACGGCGGCAACACCCTTCAGAGCTCGCTCCCTATTACTACCCTTGCTTTTTGAGACCATCCATTCTAGCAGTGTGGTAAAAGTGGTTGCAAAGTGAGTGGAACTATTCTTTTGCTGATTGCCGTTACAAAAGGCAAGCTGAGAATTGCATTCCTCTGCGCAAATTTGGGAACACTTCTCTCCAACACCCTTTGGCCCCCATGATGGCCCTCAATTTCTTGCGCCTAATCCCACGGACCCTACTCTAGTAGGAACGACCCGACAGTGAGAATATTATTCTCACTGAATGTTCCACCCTGTTCTTTGCGGCGGACACAGTGAAACCAGCCTGTACAAAAATGCAAATTGCACTGTAAGTGTCAAAACAAGATACATAATGTCAAAATATGATAAATAAGGTCCCAAAGTGGAAGACATATGCGTTTAAACACCTTTTCATTAAGATTAATCCGGAAATGTTGATTTCCTTGGCTCAAACAAGCCACAAGTTGATGTGAAAAGCACCGCAGGAAGACTACAGGATGAACTCAACCAATATGGCACCCACACAACCAAACTAACTATCTAGAGTTGTCTATATTCTTTGCTTGTCACAGCCATGTGATGGTTGTAGTGGTGACAGCCATGTAGCAGGCATTATCTTATGTCAAACTAGATGCTTCATTTTCCTTCAAAAATTCCTCAAGTTCTCAGATCACCTTCGTTTCGGACTGTGTCACCCTTCTGCTATCAACCCAATCATACCAGTTGATCTAATGGGCAAGTTATGGAGAATCATACCATTGGAAGCTAGTAGGATCCTCAAGTTAATAGAAGAAAGTGGCAGCTCCAGACAACAAAACAAAAATGAGCCAGCGACAACTCCAGCACCTATTCTATTAGTTCTTCTGATATTAGAATACTTTTAGTCATTCCAATCTTGTTGGTTTGTCTAACTGAAGGAATGGATCAATCAGACGGGTCAAATGGGGCCAGTAGTGGGGACATAGATTGGTTGACCTGTGGGTGATAGAAAAATATTCCCAAAGGTGGCCGCCTATCTTTACCAGCCATTCGTCACTCCCACGATCGTCAAATAAACAAGCCACTGCCACCGCTGCGGCCGTCATGTCCAAATTATGTATCCCCTATCTCAGGGTATTGATAGAGTGGCTCTATTTGTTATTCTGTTAGGATATCTTTGATGGCCATAGTGGTGTGCTTGAAAATGAGGATGTGCCAAGCAGGAACAAGAAGTTTTCTGTTGACGTTTGGGAGGGGGTTTCCATTGTGTTCCTGGTGTTCCCAAGCAGGTTCTCCCTGACGGTTCATTCTCCCTGTCGGATCGTTCCTAGTACTGGCTAGCTCGTCCTGAATTGGACTCTTCTTTGGCCCTGGCTGGCTTCCGTATATAATCTGCATACGGTACTCAAAACCCCGCCCCCTTCGCTCCAACACTGCTCCCGAACACTTTCAGAATTCTAAAGTATTACTTCTGAATTATCAGTGGACAGTCTTTTAGGATTTTTATAGACAATTTTTGTTCACAGTGTTTGTGTGTACCACACTGCACTGTACGAATTTTAAAATGCTTCAGAGACCCTGCAATCAAGGAATGTGATGTAAAAAATTGGCAAATTATTTTTTGGTTGTGCACTACGCTAAAAGCTAGTGTAAAGATCTTTCGAGTGTTTTGAGTTTGAGAGAATGAAAGTTATGAGAGAGATTAGAAAGCTATGAAAACTAATCAACGAGAGAGATCATCATCAAGGGATCGTAGATCTGGCCTCCCGCGGGAGACTATAAAGTGTGATAGAGTAGGTTGCGGTGGTAATCCTACGTATCTCCACGATCCTAAAACGGAACGCGTGGAAGGTTTGTCTAGCATGGATCTAGTAGCGTGGAAGTACTCCACGCTGGCTAAATATCTAGAGCGATGTTTCATCATCAACCTAGTATGACTAGAGCGGTCATTGAGAACCCTGTCTCAAATGACTATTCACGAGAGACTCAGTCATGAGTCGAACTCAAACCCTATCTAGGATCGAGTCGCGAATAAGGCTAAGAGCCGTGTATTGCAGCAGCTTCAACCAGAGTGTTCCTGTTTCCTGGATTCACACAGTACTTCATATGTATACAGTGAATGCCATATGCCTGCTTCTTAGATATGGAAATAAAGGTTGAGAGTCCATCGTAGAACTTTTCAAATCCGGAATACACCCATGGGTGTCACAAATCAACTCCGCTTGACTGGATGTTTACCTCACCTTCCTAGATCGCTTCCAATCAGCTTCCCCACAATCTAACGTGAACCACCTCCCCCGACTTGCTCCGCACTGAACAGCTTGTTTTACCGCCTATTTACCGTCTTTTAGTAGTTTAACCGCCTTCAACCGCCTTCAACAGCTCGCTTTCAGCCGTGGTACAAAAGAGGTTGCAAGCAATCAAGGAAGGCACAAATCAACTGGAGTTGATTTGTGCCACCCCCCACGGGGGAGGGGACAAGAATTCACAAGATCTTCTTTGCATGAGTTCTTTATGGACATGAAACAATATATACTTCATCGAGCAACAAAAATGTTAGGCTGAGTCCTCAGTCAGAGTCGAGTGAGTCCAGTCACTCACTCGAGCACATGATGTACGCATCAGGACAAAGGACACCAGCGGTATAATAGATACTAGTTTAGCAGTGGTTTTGAGCTTTACCAGTAGCCCTGGTACAAAATCCTACGTAACGGATGGCTCAATACCCACTTTGGATTTACAAGTGTAAACGGTACTCAAAATACTTACACTATAGACGAATGAGAACATTCAAGAAGGCCAATATGTGACCGAAATCAACCTCTTTTATTGAAGTATATGCTTGTCTCTTATGTTTGAGCTCTCGCAGCCAATAGAAACAATAAAGCATATTGTATTTGGAGTTAATTGCATTGGTGTTGATCCATTCTTATTGGAGTTAACAGAAGTTGCGGAATATTTTACAGCCAGAAAAGTAACTGTGTACTGTTTTACTATAGGAAAATGGATGTAAATTTTTCATGGCTCACGACCACCCTTAAACTAGTATACCGGGCGAGCTGAATCAACAGGTGAGCCGAAATAGGACAGTACTATTGCAAAATTTGGCCGATTCACTGAATTAATGATTTAAATAAGATACAATTTAATGGATAATTTAGGGAACAACTTACTTAAGGGGCAATGCTAGATATGATTCTGAACTGTCGCTGGATTAAGAGATGATTGGGACTTATTTTGAAATCGTTACTTGTTTAAACCGACTTTCATCAGAGAACTAAGAGACGATTCACCACTGTCTCCAAGGTAGTAGGGAAGAGACCAGTATGCTGGTTGCTAGGTTAGAGAGGATACCAGGGACAAACACGAGCTACTTTTAAGAGACAGGGGCTGGATGCTGTTGAAGTAAACGAAAACAATTTTTGGATGGCTGCAATTGAAGAATACTGAAACCTTTTTTTGAATCCTGCGTCAAAGGCCTGCAACTGAAGGAATATCTGGCCAGAAATAGCTGCCCTTCACTATGAGGGGGACATTGTCGGAGGAGGAGGCAGGGTCATTGTCGGAGGAAGAGTCACCGAAAACATAGTTGGGATCTCGGTGGGAGGCTCAGTTGGCGGCTCAGTTGGAGCTTCTGTTGGCAGATGTGTTGGTGAGTCTGTTTGTGGGTCTGTGGGTGGATTTGTTGGTGGTTCGGTTGGTGGATTTGTTGGAGCTTCTGTTGTTGGTGAGTTTGTTTGTGGGTCTGTGGGTGGATTTGTTGGTGGATTTGTTGGTGATTTGTTGGTGGATTTGTTGGAGCTTCTGTTGTTGGTGAGTCTGTTTGTGGGTCTGTGGGTGGATTTGTTGGTGGATTTGTTGGAGCTTCTGTTGTTGGTGAGTCTGTTTGTGGGTCTGTGGGTGTTTGTTGGTGGTTGTTGGTGGATTTGTTGGACTTCCTGTTGGCGGGTTTGTTGGAGTTTCTGTAGGTGGATTTGTTGGTGGTTCGGTTGGTGGATCTGTGGGGGGCTCTGTGGGTGGATTTGTTTGTGGGTCTGTGGGTGGATTTGTTGGTGGTTCTGTGGGGGGATTTGTTGGTGGTCCGGTTGGTGGATCTGTGGTGGTTCTGTGGGCGGCATTGTTGGAGGGGCTGTTGGTGGTTCTGTGGGTGGCATTGTTGGAGGGGCTGTTGGTGTACTTGTTGTAGGGTCATCATTTGTTGGCCTTGAGCTAGTGCTTGGCAAAAATGATGGGGTTTCTGATGGTAAAGCAGTAGGCAGCTGGCTGGGACTGTTTGAGGGTACATGGCTTGGTAGCAGGCTTGGTAGAACGCTTGGACTTTCACTTGGTAGCATGCTTGGTAGAATGCTTGGACTTTCACTTAGTAGCATGCTTGGTATAATGCTTGGACTTTCACTTGGCAACACACTGGGAAGCTGGCTACCACTTGGCTGAATGCTTGGACTTTCACTTGGTAGCATGCTTGGTAGAATGCTGGGGTGTTCACTTGGTAGCAAGCTTGGCTGGATGCTTGGACTTTCACTTGGCAATACACTGGGAACCTGGCTAACACTTGGCATTGCACTTGGTGATTTACTGGGAACCTCGCTACCACTTGGACTGGTGGAGGGGGCAAGTGATGGGTTTGTGCTGGCACTAGGTCCCTCTGAGGCACTTGGTCCCTCTGATTGTACCAAAGTTGGTTGGGTTGTGCTTGTTGGGATTGATGTCGGCATAAAGGTTGGCATGGGTGTTGGAATCGGTGTGGGATTTGGTGTCGGATTGGGTGTTGGGTCCGGAGTTGGATTGGGTGTTGGATTGGGAGTTGGATTTGGTGTTGGTTCTGGAGTCAATGCAGTGGGCTGTGCTGCTGCAGGCGCTTGGCTTGGGGGGAGGGTCCCGGGGGCCAAAAGTGCTTCAGCTTGTACGGGGTCAACTTCAATGATCTCGGTGACAGGTTCAACGGGGAGCGGCGTGCCAGCTTCATCCAATGCAGCAAGCTCTGCATTAAACTGACGCGCGAACTCTCCAGATGTTGGCCCGTCTCCTTCTTCAGAAGGACTGACATCAAGAGGGCATATGCACCCATTGAACCCACCAGCTTGCAGCATTCGGCTTGAATCGGCAGATCTTTTGCCAGGCGTTCTGTTCTGGGCCAGTGATCTCCGTCGTCGTCGAAAGCTATCATCAAAGAGTTCAAAGGTACCCGTAGAAGTGACAGGACAGGATCGACCTGGAAGAGTGACAAGATAGACATCAAAGCGCAGATGGGAGTGAGCAAGAGGGTGAATAATCCGTTCATTCCTAGTTGAACAATCGTACTTACAGGTCCCTGTCACAGAAAACACAGCTGCCGACGATACTCCAGTCACATTATTGATTTCAACCATCGACGCATTCCCCCCACTGACCTGCAAGCGACGACCAAGTTCAGATTCGGCTCCCAAAAGCTTCACTTTTGACACAACTCGAAATCTCCCGTCACACACGGAAAACGAAACTGAATTGTAGGAGTCTTGAAAAGTGTCTTGGACGGCTACTTTTTCGTCGGCACTAAGCGTATTGACGTCTACACCAAGGCTAGTAACGACGGCAGATTCAAACGATTGAACCGCCTCGCTGCAGTCGACTTGTTGCCCTTCCTTGACATCGGTCGCGGTTGTCTCCACAGCCTGAACATCCCCAGTATCCACCGCTTCCTCGATCTCCGTTGTGAAAAGCGCCTCAAATTCCATGGCAGTCGGGCCTTGACCTTCACTGGGCTCTACTCCGACTGGACATACGCAAGCTGTTGTATTGGAAGTATCCTGCATTCGACGTTTGCCATGCCTCCCATGGACTGGAAAAAGCCGACGGCGGCGAAAGGAGTCATCAAACAACTCGAATTGACCAGTTGACGTAACAGGGCAACCTCTACATTGACCTGTCACAGAGAAAACAGTTGAACCAATGTCTGATGGTACTGTTTCATTCCCCGTAGTATTGTTGTTGTTCAACTCGGAAGACTCTTGCTGCTGTAGATCCCGTCGATTTGGAAAGATGTTACTGGTTTGGCCAACGTTCAATCTGACAAGCGTCACGGTGCGAAAGAGATTGTCGCAGCTTTGAAAGGCCAACGTGTTATAGCTTGACATGAAAAGGGCTTCGAGAGCGGCAATGTCTTGTTCTGTCACCGTTGTCAAGTTCACGGTCAGTTCGGAAAAGACCTCCGTGTTGAAGACTTGTACATCTGAGCTACACAGAACTTCTTGCCCCTCCGCGAAGCCATTCACACTAATCGGTGTGTCAGTGGCAGATGCAACGCGTGCATTGAAGGTTGCGAGGAAGAGATCTGATGTAACTGCTGTTCCGTTGGGATTGGGCTGAGTTCCATTCGGGCAAAAGCAAAGAGCTTCCTCCTGGACCCTTCTGACCGAGTCTGAAAAAGGATCGTCAACCGTTTGTTCGCCGAGCCTTCGCTGGGATGAGGAGCCATCGAAGAGGTCGAAAGATCCTTCCGTGACATTGCAGTTTCGACACGTTGCCGCCACTTGAAAAATCACAGTCACAGATGTGCCCATATCTCCGGTTGGGGACGTCTCAACTTCAGAAAGAACTAGCTCCGTACTGTAAATGTTGCGAAAGTGGTAATCGCAGAGAAAGTAAGACAATGCATTGTAGGTATCTTGGAAGGCAGATTCCAAGACCGCCATGTCTGTTTCCGTCAGCGAATCAGAGCTTTCGATTGCGAAATCAGCAAACACTTCTGCCGAGAAGTCTCGTTGTTCTGAGCCACAGTCGACTTGTGTACTTTCACTTGGACTTGGTGCCATTGTATCCTCTTGCAGTCTTCGCCGCGGTTGAGAGGATGCCACCATGATTGCTCGATTGAAGGCATCCATCAGACTCGGCTTGGTAGGAATCGAGCTGGTGTGTCTGCGAGGGGGATTAGCCACAAGGTGGCGATTTGAGTGGTTTGGTGGTTGAAGAGTCTCTTGCGGTGGCTGCAAGAGATGCACATGCACGATTCCTGTGTCGTCGCAACATTGCCGTGATGTCCCTGTGACTCCGTACAGCTGCTGATGCCTTCCTCTTTGATGGAAACCGTCCCTTAATCGAGGTAACAGCGAAGATCGGTTTCCAGGGTTGATCGATACCGATGTCACCACAGGCGCAACTGTCCCTACGTCGGCATGCCCATTGTAGACATCTGCGAGAATCAGATCCATGGGAATATCATCCAAGAGCCCTTTGCCTCCACGGTAGGTTACGAGGAACGAAGAGAAGAACTCTCCCTGGCAATTTTCCTCGTCTCTTAGTGTCTTGAGACATACTGCCGGGGCCTCGATATCAATGACTTGAGGAACGCGAATCTCAAATCGTCTTCTTTTTGAGGACGTTACGGCATCTCTAGACAACACCAATGCTGGAACAAAGCCCAAGAGGACTGCAACAATGCTTGCTCCAACAAGCGTTCGATTCCTCATTGTCATTAGCCTGAACAATCAAGTCGGAGAAGGTCAATGCATACCGTGCACTACCGGTTGGTACTGTCGCTTTCACAGACCCCAAGACCGTTTGTCTCCTTTGCTGAAGGAGGTGCGTTGACACCAAAATTTGGAAATGGTGAAAGATCCAGGATTGTAGTTTTTGGGTTAAAAGAACTGGTGAGAGAGAAAGGCTTTCTTGAAGATTGAGATTACATGGTACCAGTACCGGTACCGTTGCAAAACACCTGTTTTTGGATCTGGGACCACATTCTTTGAAGATGGCGATACAACGGCTGCCATTTAGCAACCTTATAACACAAGTTGGCAGGAGGGCAGGTTGATTTATTAGCTAGCACGTTGATGCCGGTCAGCTTTTACTCATCTTTTTTTATCGGGGTAACCATGCAGAGTGCCAATTGACAAAAAACTCAAGAAGCAAAAGACTCCTTGATCGGAGGGTTGTCGGATTGTGAAAGTCGATCGATGGAGGATCAACTTCTTTTGCCAACAGTCTACTATATGATATCCTCTCCTGTCTGCCTCGTTGCTTCGGCTTTGAGCGCATTTGCTGTTATTCTATTAGTCACAAATCATGCTCGGCCACTGAGCAATGAAATCTTCCTGTCTTACTCACACGTCATCTCCTCGCTGAGGAGTGGTCTCAGGAGAGGCAAACCACCACTGTTTCTGCGGAACCGATTCTTGCACACGGAAGAGAGCAAAGAGACAAAGGACCAAGCACTGGGGAATATCACTGTGGATTTCTACAGGGTCTACGAAGAAAAACAAATTTTGGGCTTTTCCTACAGACAGTACATCATCTCGCAGTGGCGGCTGGAACGACAAGTTGATTTCCTCAATTATTGGTATGAGGGCCGGGTCAATTTCTTCATGGGGGATGTTTACCCATTTGAAGATCCTGATTTCTCAGGAGAAGTGAACTGTGCAACCCAAGTCCTTGATTTCTCCTCGAGCTCCGAGATTCGAAACGTCAGTCGCATTTCGGCCCTGTATGTCAAGAAGCTGTCCAACAATTTGAATGGTTGTGCGCCATTTGACGTGCCTTTGGGGGGCTTGGGGCCGTTTGCTCCTGGTGAGTGCGAGTCGAGTCGAGTTATCCCCATCGCCACAACACCTTCATGTCCACCATGCTTCTCACATAACCCGTTTTCCTACATCTCCCTGGCAGTGGCAATGATAGGAATGAGCAGTGATTCGTTTCTCTTTTCATCAAACCTGGGGTTGCAAAACATTGCGGGAGCCACCATCACCCATGAGATAGGGCATGTCATGGGCTTTCGACACACAGCCCAAGCGGCAGAAAACGTGGCTTCCTACGTTAGCTGTTTTGATCTTCTTCGGTATCCCCAATTCGATCAGACGTCAACAGCATCAACAATCTTCAACAGTGCCGTCCTTCGCGAGGACAAAATTTGGGATGACCAGACCGGGGAACTATACGAATATGACGATTGGAAGGGGAGAACAAACGTGATGGCTCCGTTGAGGCTGTACCATGTATTAGGTTCGTATGCACTATCTGCTGGACGGTGGTTTGCTCTTTTGTGCGTTCTCTGACAAATAGGTTTCTTGGAACTCTTTTTGCCTCTTGGCAGCACCGTGGGAAATTCGACTTTTTAATAAGGGATACAAGAACGTCTTCCAAGACATTGTCCGATGCTGGTTCCTACAAGCAGCAGAAGGGTTCAAAAATGAAACTACAAGTGATCAACTCCCGACTCCACCAGAGATTGAATATTGAGCTCCTCCAGCCATTGGAACTGAGAATAGTCGGGTTGCTTTGAGCGTGCGGATAGTCTTCAACAGCTGTGGCCACTTGATATATGCTTTCGGTGCAACCACCAGTAGCCAATCAGATAGAAAGGGGTTCAGAAGGACCCCGCCACGCAAAGAGTCCAGCCCGATCCCGCCACCGGTGGCAGCAGTCAGATCGTCCGATTTGGTACAGCTTGTTGCGTCGCAGTCGAGTCTATGCAGATACGGTAGATTTGATCATTCCCAACTCCAGCCAGCTAGCTATATTCTGCTACTTTTACGACACCACTGCAGGTGCATTCGCGTCCGTTTTGCAGACTGGAAAAAGAATCTTCAATCGAATACCAACCGTACCTCAAGTAGTACAGTAGCGCACAAACAGCAGTAGCCTATGCCGCGGCTCCAACTTGCTCTAAGCATAATGCCTGGTTCCCGGATGGATGTTCGTTGGCTGGTCCAACGTACCGTAACTTATGATGGAAAAAGACTTTCACTTGCTTTCTTTCTTTCTAATCAGTTCTATGTTTCCCTGGACGCCCTTCCTAGCACTGTAGTGTGAATTTGTTCGTTTGTTCGTTTTTTCTCCACATTTTCTATCACAAGTTTGACAACCCCAAACACACAGTCTAACGATTGGAGGTGGACTCTCTTCTTTTTTGCATTTGATTTTTTGTTGTAGCTGGATCTGTCGTTTGATTCCTTATATCCTTTTTTTTGTTCTGTTGTTGTTGCGGTTGCTGTTTTTCCATCTCACAAAACACCCAAGCGACCCTTTTCTTTTTCGTCAGTATTATTAGTGTTGTGTTGGCAATCGTACTATACCAATTGACAAGCCCGTTCCATGGCGGCGGTAATATCGTCCTTGACGGCATCATCTTGTAGCGTGGAATTTCCACTGGAACTAATGAACCGTGCCAGTTCCAATTTCAAGAGTCGCACAAAATCATTTCGCAATTTGAACTTTCCACTGTTGGAAAAGAATGTTTTGTTGCGTTGGGCGCGCGATTTGAAGGAATGACTGAGTTTTTTGGAATTGGTGCTCACAACAGATTGCATGTGAATCCAATGTTCCGACATGACAATGCGGGCATCGAGGAGTCCGAGTGGTTCGTGATACTGTGTTCGGACACTGTCATTGACGTAGGGATTGTCGAGTTGGTATTGGAGACATTCTCCGGCAATCAATGCTCGTTTGGAACTGAGGACCAAGAGTGCTTCGGGTTGTACTGTTTCTTCAAAGACGAATACTTGAATGTCGGGATGTGGAGAGACGGGAGAAATGGGAGCATCCAATTTGAGTTTTCGAGTGGGTGTCGTGTCGTAGAGCACTTGATCCAACGGCAGATTCGGACACGATGCAAAGGGACCCGGTGCCCATCGCTGAATGTCTGGAAATTTGGTCAAGTAGTAGTTGTCTTCAAAGGCGGCATGTTCGGAGGGTCCCAAACGGATCAAATTGGTCAAGACACCCAACTCGAGTAATTTGGCTTCGCCTTCTGGAGACAACCGGAGTGGATTGATCAGCGTCAAGACACCTCGTGCTTGTTGTTCGGGACTCATATCGGCATTGGCATTCCGATCCACCAACACAATCATGTTCTTGTTGAATCGATTCCCCGTGTTGCCCTTGACGGTACAGTGGAAAATATAGCAGTGATCTCCCAATTGCTTAATCACCTTGGGCTTGTATACCAAAGGGAGCTCTCGATCTTTAAACTCGGACGGATTGTAGAATGGCTGCTTTTGACGCTCTGCTTGAGCACGACCTTCCTTTTCACGAGTCTTAGCCAAGGCTGTCGGGTTGCGCCGTTGCAGGGGTTTCCTGATCATGGTGGTGGTCAATTGGTTGGCCAAAGAAAGAAAGACAGAAAGTGCTGTTGTTGTTTGTTGGTTTGTTGTGAAAGTGTGAGAGAGAGCATTTGGCGGTGTTTGATTTCAACCTCAACGCCCTCAAAAAACATTGGTTAAGGGCGTGTCTGGAAAGTGAAATAGAGATTTAAAGAAATCAGTTACCGTTCTTAAACCTATTTTCACAGAGAAACCAAGGACATAACGCGGCTTTGTTCGAAGAAGCCAGCCAAGTTGTGAAAAGAGGAGTTGAAGAGCTGTCGAGGCCTCCGTTTTGCCACAGATGACTTTGCTGAAGATTGGCCCATCATTCTGGTACAACAGGACGATCATCGTATTTTGCTGCCTAGCTCGTTACCTTAGCTTATGGTTACAAGTCAGACAATTCTACACACCATACATTATCTTCTTCGTTCAGAGACGAAGAAATACGTAGCTAATCTCGTTTCAAGTACTCATAGGCATCCTTTGGATTGCAGCCCATGGCAATGTAAGTTGGGTACTGCCGTTTTTCAGAAGTATTGTTGATGATGGAACCAACAATAATGGCCAGGACATTACCCGCCAGGAGGAGCACGAAATGAGTCATGCCATAGGTGCCAGATGAAAACAAAAAGGCAGAAGCACCGGCGGGAGGATGGGTGATTCCGCAACGAGTCATGGCGCCAATCGCCAGAGATGTACCCAACACTTGCTTGAACCAAACGGGAAGCAATGGAATCACAGATATAATCAAGGCAATGCTGACAGAAAGCAGCTGTCCCAAGAGACAGCTCCTTGGTTGAGCTGCCGGGGCTTGGGTCAAACCGAATTGCAGACAGATAAAGGCTGTAGTAATCAAAAAGACAAGTCGGATGGAAGAACAAGACAACAAAGGCAGGGTTGAGTATACTTGCTAGAAGCGTACACGTGATTAGTTGACTGTGCTGTCCCGTCATTTACTTACCTCCAAATGGTGGCATCAGCAACAGGTAGTTGCTGCCATAGCTAGTCACCAACGAGTGGCCAATACCGGCCGGCAACGTCAGCAGCACAAAGCTGCCAAAGAAGGAAAAGACGGCTTGTTCATTGGTAAAGGGCGGAGGGGGTCGATTGTCGGTTCCTTTGCACTTGGTGGCAACCATAGTTACAGCATTGCTGGCCTGAGCCAGTCGCTTCTTGACCACCTTTCCCAGAGACGCTTCCTTCTCTGCAATCGAGACCTTTTTGCCATTATTATTGTTGTGATTGGATGGTTCTTGGTCCGAGTTTTGAACGGGTGTAAATTACTCGTTAGTTTAACAAACTATGGCCACGGAGTGGCTTTTGTGACGCGGGCAATGGGTGGGGAAGCCCCCACCTAGCTGAGTCGTCATCTACTTATTTGCCCAATCAACATGACCTCATCCACTGGCCCAACGTGGAGCCAGCACCAAGTAGACAGATGCCCTGGGTAGGGGGGTGAGCACATTGATAAGGGAACCTGCAGCGCAAACCTGGGTTACAGGGCTTACACAGGATTTTGTCGGTATTGAAACCATTATCACCAATAGGGACCGTGAGGACCAGTTAGTTGCCAGACCAAGAAGTGCTCGCCAGTAAGTGTGTCTGGGTGATCAGGTCCCAAGCTGTGGCAAGGCCTTGGCATCAAGGCAAGATGCCAGCAGAGCCCGTAGGAGGTGGTACTCCTCAGGCTGGACCAGAGCAGGGTGTAACCCATCCAATGCACAAAATTGTTAGATAGAGGCCAACAAGCAGGCAGAAGATGGGGTCAAATGACACACTGACAGTTGTGGTTCCCAGGAGGGAAGCACAGTGGCTGCTGGAGTGTTTTGGGCTGTTCGAGGGGTTGTTGAGTCAATAGAAGGAGGAATAAGGGGGCACTGG